GGGCTTTTTTTTTTTTTTTTTGAAAAGGTAGTTCTTCCTTAGTCATATACTGAGTGCCTTCCAATCTGAGGGGCTCATCTTTGGCCACAACCTCTGATAATATTCTGCTTCTATTTATGAATTTTCAGTAACTGACAATGTTTCAATGCTATCAATAAGGTTTTCATTGGCTAATTCCTCTGAAGCAGACAGCCTATTCCTTCTTCGTAGTCTGTTCCTAGCCTGGAAGGTGTTGAAACCTAATCACTTTGGGTGACCCTGCTGGTATTTGAAATACAAGTGACATAGCCCCTAGCATCACAGCAATATACTACCACCCCATAGTGCAACAAACTGACAGACAGGTGGTGGAGAAGTAGCAAAGGATCCAGCAGTCTGTCTACTCAGTATATCCCCCAAAGAAATAAAGCACAAAATGCAAACAGATATATGCACAACAATGCTTATCATAGTACTATCCACAATAGCAAAAAGATAGAAATCACCAAAAATTCCCACCTGTGGGGGAATGGGTAAACTCAGGTGCATAAATGCCATACATTGTATAGAACACTATACATCTCTAAAAAACAATTATGAAACTGTCAAACATCTTACATCATGGATAAATTTGGAAGACATTATGCTCCTCCAAGTTAGTAAATCACATAATGACAAATACTGTATGAGACCACAATTACAAGAGAAAAAAGGGAAAGGAAAGGTTTTCACATCAAAAGAAGTGGACGTTGATGGTTACTGGGTGGATGGGAAGGTGGAAGGGAGGGAACAAATAAACAAACAAATAAATGAAATTATTACTGGGGTGTCTTAAAAGCTCATGAGCAACCATATAAGGTGGAGGGAAAAGGGCAATGAAAATCAAAAGCCCCATGAAAACATCATCCAGGGTAATGGACGTTACACACACCAGTTTCCACAACCCAAGACGAAAACGAAACAAAACAAAACTCACTGCTATAGAGCCAATGTTGACTCATAGCACCTCCTTGTGGGTTTCCGAGACTGTAACTGCTAAGTAAGCCCGGCTTTTCTCCCACTGAGGTGCTGAGATGGTTTCCAGGTGCCGACCATGCAGTCACAGCCCAACAAGTAGCCACTACACCACCCTACAACCAGAATAAAATGGTGCTGCCTACCACTACCAACTGCTCTGAAAGGTATGACATTAGAAGGTGGTGGATAGAGTGGGAGAAAAACATGGAACAGAAAGATAAATACCAGGCTTACTGGTTGGGAAGACATAGGTAGACCTCCCTAAACTATGGCCTTGGCGACCTTTCAGTTCTAGAACTGAACTCATCCCCGGGCTCAATTTTCAGCCAAACAAGACAGGTCTATCAGGGGAACAGTAACACTAATGGGGTACACACACCTTAGAATAATCAACCAGTTGAGATGAAGGGGGCAGCACTTGCCCAAGGACACAGTTCAGAAGGGTTAGTAAAGGAAGGGTGGAGTCAGGAAACACAGAAAGGTCCTAGGATAAATGATGTCACATTCATTATGGATTGCAAATCAAGGAGGTGAAACAAACCGTGAATGAATTACAACATGTACAACTGATGATCTTCTCTGTCAACCTTCACCCAACTCACCACAAAAGCGTAAAAAATAAGAAAATTCTAAAATAAATGGCAAAAGAACACAAATGATTTCAAAGTTGGGGACTGTCATAGTCTCCTCTACCCCTTTTTATACTAATGACTATGGGCGACAGCAGTCTCAACTTTTACAAATGTTCGAAATATTCTTGAATCTGAAAAACTAATTTAACAAGTAATTTTAATTAAAACTGACTGAAACAGCTGCATTTGGGTATCAGTGCTTAATGTGAATTAGGGGAAAGAAAACCAAGCATGTTGCCAGGATTGCTTGGTGGAATATGCGTGTTGTTTTTTTGTTGTTGTTTGTTTTTTAATAAGATAGATGTGGTTTGGGTCAAGGAAAAAAAGGAAAGCAGCCCTTCAGAAAAGAATGTCTGGCTGCTCTGTCACCACCCACAGCACAGAAAGGAGGGGCTGATTCTGTCCAGAGCCTACTAGGCTGTGAGCGCTCAGGCACAGAGGGTTACAGGCAAGGATTTTTTTTTTTTTTTAAATAAACCAAAACACACCTGCAAGACCTAAAACACAAGGTGACAGCAGAATTTCAGCACGGGAAGGAATGGAGCAAGGCGATGCTCTCTTATTTTAGAAGTTGAAAAAACCGAGGTAGAGAGACAAAAGTATTCATTAGAGTGTTGGGAGTTCTATTGGGTTCAAGTGCAAAGGGTAGATCTCAAATGAAATCAATTTCCATTCACCCCTTCCTTACCCTCCCATTAAAATAACTTTTCTAGGTTTCCCCTGACTCTCCAAGTAATAAATGTTTATTTGTTTAAATATTTTTCATATACGGTATGGAAATTAGGGAGCATGTACTGGGAATGGCCGGATGGCCATCCATGAGGGGATGATGGAATGCACTGTGGCACAAGCACATTACGAAGGTGAGCGTAAGTCTTAGAAGAATGAGGAGGAAGAGCACAAGGAGATGGGTTGGCACAGGGGCTGCAACAATGGGCTCAAGCACAGCAAAGATTGTGAGGATGGGGCAGGCCCAGGCATTGTTTCATTCTGTTGTCAGCTTTGAGTCCAGATGGGCTCAGCAGTATCTACCAATAACAATAACAGGCGATGAATAGGGTCCTGGGTAAAGAAAACAGTGTATGCTCAACGACTACCCCAACGGTGGACAGTTTAAACCCACCCAACAGGCAGAGAAAGCCCAGTCACCTGCTTTCACACACATGACAGCCAAGAAAACATGATGGAACCCATCTATTCTGTAACACATATGGCCACCGTGAGTTAGAAACATCTCAGGGGCAATTGGTTTAGTTTTGGGTTTATTAGAAGATGGAATTTGATCGATAAGTTACCGATCAAGGAAGATGATTCTAGCATAAAATAAGTATGGCAAGGCAAAGGACAAAATATGTCAAGGTCTTGTTTGCATAAAAGGCAAACCAAAAGAACGGTATATGTGCATGTGAATTTATATGAGAGATTTATAGAAAAAAATCGTGCTGCCAGATAGTCCCGGGACTGCTAATAGCAAGGTCATTGGTTCAAACTCACTAGCTGCTCCTTGGGAGAAAAGGGAGGCCCTTGGTTCCTTCGCCTTGAAAACGCTATCTTTTTTCCTATAGAATTCTCTCTAGCATGGCTATGAGTTGTAATGGACTCCATGGCAGTGAGTGTTTAGGAATCGGAATTGACACGATGAGTATACGTTTTTTGGTTTGTGGAAGGAATCATACACTATTGAATATCTGGATGACATTGAAGAGGAGAGAGTAAGGCCATTATTTTTCCTTTCAATTTTGTTCTTTAATTTTCAAGCATTGCAATCAGCATGTGCTACGTTTAGACTATTCTAAAGAGAAGAGGGTATGGAGGGGAAAACGGGGAAACTGAGTCACCTCACAGTACTCAGGAAAAAAAACAAACGTTTTAATTAATGATATCTCCCCTAACGTTTATATAAATACACACGTGTATTATAGGTCAGGAAGTATTTCTACAAAAATATACGGACATACCTATATACACAGACACACAAAATTACTTCCATGTTTTATAAGCTTACAGGTCCCTCCTCTGAAACATTCTGCATGTCCACAAATCCAGATGCACGAGTACAATTGTAAATGACCACAAGCATATCCGACCGACGTGTGACGTTATTGTTCATTGTGACCCTGAAGAGGCTCCGCAGGTACCTATTCATGCACGACGGCCCTAGGAGCCCTTGGCCGTGGTGGAATTCCTGGCAGTGCCAACGCGTTTCACTGCCAAGCCGCACCTCCAGGCTGGCCTTCTAGAAAGTTTCCCTGTGAAAATCGGATTGGTTTCGTTTTAAAGATCCGATTCGACTGGCACGGAGCGAGGGGGTGCCGTGTCCAGAGCCGCACGCCCGGCCGCAAACTCGCGGCCCTGGCGCGACGCCCCCCCC